CAGGGAAGAAACCTTACATATGTAAGAAGTGTGGCCGAGGCTTTACCCAAAAGGCATATCTCATCACACACCTGCAGACACACTCAGGGAAGAACCCTTACATGTGTAAGGAGTGTAGGCGAGGCTTTACCCGAAAGGCACATCTCATCAGACACCAGAGGACACACTCGGGGGAGAAACCACATGTGTGTGAGGAGTGTGGGCGAGCCTTTAGCTGCAAAGGAGATCTCATCAAACACCAGAGGACACACTCAGGGGAGAAGCCACATGTGTGTAAGGAGTGTGGGCGAGGCTTTAGCCAGAAGACAAATCTCATCACACACCAGAGGACACATTCAGGGGAGAAACCACATGTGTGTAAGGAATGTGGGCGAGGATTTAGTCGAAAATCCACTCTCATCACACACCAGAGGACACACTCAGGGGAGAAACCTTACACGTGTAAGGAGTGTGGGAGACCCTTTGGCCGAAAGTCAAGTCTGATCAGACACTTGAGGGGACACACAGGTGACACCCCTTATGTATGTAAGGAATGTGGGAAAGGCTTTAGCCGAAAGTCAACACTGCTTGAACATCAGAGGAGACACTCAGGGGAGAAACCTTACACCTGCAAGGAGTGTGGGCGAGGCTTCTTCTGGAAAGCAACTCTCCTCATTCACCAGAGGACACACTCGGGGGAGAAACTACATGTGTGTAAGGAGTGTGGGCGAGCCTTTGGCTTGAAGTCAGATCTCATCAAACACCAAAGTGTACACACAGGGGAGAAGCCTTATGTGTGTCAGGCATGTGGGCGAGGCTTTAGCCAAAAGTCAACTCTCCTCACACACCAGAGACTACATTCAGGGGAAAAACCACCTGTCTGACATGAATGTAGGCGAGGCTTTACCTGTAAGTCAGGACTCACCAAACACCAGGGGTTACGCTCAGGGGAGAAGGCACATGTGTGCAAGGAGTCGGTGCGACCCTTTATCCTGTAGTCAACTATCATTAGATACCAGAAGACACAGGTGCGAAACCAGGACTGTGGGTGAGACTTTACCTGGAAGTCGGATCTCAGTGAACACCAGAGGAGACACTCGAGAGAATCCTTACATGTGTAAAGAATGTGGGTGAATTTAGCCAATAATCAACTCCTCACACACTGGAGCATACATTTCAGGGGACAAATCACATGTATGTACGGAGTGTGGGTGAGCCTTGAGGTGTAATTCAGGTCTCACCAAACACCAGAGGATCACATGGGAGAAGCCATGTGCGCCAGGAGTATGGGTGAGGCTTTAACCTGAAGTCAACTCTTCACAGACACCAAGGACACATTCAGGTGAGAAACCGTATAAATACAGAGGGTGTGGGCAAGGCTCCTTGCACAGCAATCGGCACACATGAAGTCACATGTGTCACACACCAGAGGACACACTCAGGAGACTAGCAGCATGTGAGTAATTGTGGGTAATGCTGTGGCCAAACGTGACGTCAAACATCCAAGGATACACTCAGGTGAGAAACCACATGGGTCAGGACTGTGGGCGAGGCTTTAGCTCCAATCCAGCTGTCATCACACATCACGGTATACTCAGGAGACTGGGAAGCCCCAGATGTACAAAGTGT